GCCTTTCATTTTATTTGATTTCATTTTGATTGTATGTTTTTTTAATTTTTAATTTTGTATTACAAATGAAACGAATAAACTACTACTACTACAAAACACAAGTAGGTTATTTAAAGTTTGTCTTAAACCATGGCACAAGTGCTCCTCAGGATCCCTCGTGTGGTTTAATGAAATAATTGAGGTTTCCTCTGTTTACCAGTTCAATAAGTTGCCATTAGGATGTAGAACTAAAAAGARGAGATGCTCAAAGCAAATTACAATCTTCTCAAATGGAAACTAGAGAAAAATAAGTTGATGAAGAAGCTGAAAATAAGTTATTAATAAAAGAATCAGAATATTATCAGAACTAAAATGTAAAAGAAAATGTAAAAGGCTAGCTAAAATCAAAAGTAGCTAAAAGCATCAAAAGGATAGTGAAGAAGCAGAACTTAAAAATGCATAAAACAGACAAGAACAGAACAAAGACTTTTGTAAAACTTGAAGAGATATGTTTCTAGAAGAAAAATCTTTGTAAATAATTTTAAATACTTTGCATAACAGTTACAGTACAGAAGTTTTAATGTGCAAGCAGATTGGTCAGTTTGCTTGTTTTTGTCARAAAAGCTATTTGAAACATTTCATTACAAACTTGTACTTTTGTGCTGTTTGTTCAACCTCTGATATAATGGTTGYAATTTCAGAGCTTAGTGTTTTCTGAGGTGATACAATTGGTAAAAGTTTAAGAACCACTGATTTAAACAAAGCTTTCAGCTTATTTTATGATGTGTTTATGTTTGAACTAGAAATTCAAAATGTTCCAAGTTGGAAAAATCACCTGGAACTTTTCCAGAATGGGAATTTGAGGGAAAAACAGTTTTTTTTTCAAACTTACAGAAGTAAAACCATTTTTTTCCCTGCACCATTTTTTGAATTCTAAAACAAGGATTTGTCACAAATCTTCAGATTTTTATGCCATAATTCTAATTTTCAGTGGTAATCTAGATTATTTCTCATGCTGACTTTAAAGCACAAATAGAACTAAATAATCCTGCCTCAGTAAAATCTGTGGTAATGAGCTTTTTATTCTGTCATTATTTGAACCAGTCCAGTGTTGGCAGCTTAGCACWAGAGTAAGCAAATCCTTTTATTTGTTTATTTTTTTAGTTTGTAACTGAACTCTGGTTGAAGTGAGTTTTCATATTATTTCCAGATTTGATGAATGGACAGCAACATCAATCCCAAAATGAAAGAGAACATTAAAAAAATTAATTGACAGATTATTTTTAAGATCATTTTAAGTACAATTTTKGCCATTGTATACTTGTCAGTGTAATATACTGTATTTACCTGCACTTATTAAAATGAAACCAAAACATGAAATATTCAAACAAGTGTTGCTGTGGGACACGGTAGAAAAACATGAAAAAGCTTTTCTGAATGAGTCTCCATCTTTAGAAACTGTTCAATAAAAAAAAGTTTTTTTTTCTATTTTATTAGTAACTGTGATTCTTGGATGTTTTTACCTTTAATTGAGTTGCATTTGTCTAATGCTCATGACATAACTGAGAATGTTGTGCTGACTCAGCATTTTTAAGAAAAATCTGTCATCTTGTTTAATTATCAGTCAATAATTCTTCTCATGATTTAGTTTTTAGAAAAGCCTTTTTGAAAATCTAAGGTATAGCTGAGTTTTTCTATAGGATGTTCAAAGTAGCCACCTGCAATCCCAAGCAGTGTGTGTGTGTGTGTGTGTGTGTGTGTGT